GGCGCGCGCCCCGGAGCCGCAGGTGGCGCTGAGCGCGGACTGCACGACGCTCACGATCACGAAGCTGGTGTGAGTGCCCCGCGGCGCCGGGCGAGGGGCGCGGGGCCCGGGCGCGGCGGGCCGGTTCGAGGGCGGCAGGCCGCCGCATCCGCCATGCGGCCGGCTGGCGGGTCGTCGATCACCCCAGAAGGTGCCCCAGTGGCGCCGCCTCGGTTGGTGCCGCCATGGTGGTCATCATGCCCTGCCGCAATCTGTGAGGTGCCCCCTCGCATTCGCCTGCCCGCCATCCGCCCAACCCCGACCCCTCAGGATCCCCCACCAGGTGCTGTACGGCCCCACCCCCGCTGACGCCGCCGTCGACATCGGCCTGAAGCTCGGCGGCGTGCTGGTCGAGGCGCGGCCCCCGCCGCGCCTGCAGCTGTCCGCGGGGCGGCCGGCGCGCATCAGGGGGGACGGCTACCTGGGGGCCACCACCGCGGGCGCGCACAGCGTGGTGCCGGGGCAGCGGGTCGGCGACATACTGGCAGAGCTTCACGACGCGAGCGGCAACCTGTGTCTGCAGGTAATCTTGATTCAGGGTTCAGGGTTTAGGTCCGGATCGGGGCTCGAGGTGCTGCTTCGAAGGACCTGCGCCGGCGCCAGGGCCACAGCCGGGGGCGGGGCCACGGCCGGGGCTCTGCCGGCGGGGTGCGTCGCGTCGCGCCACCCTCGCCCGTCCCCACGGCGCGGGGGCGGCGGCCTCGTACCTGCCTCCCCCTCCTCTCGCTCCCAACTCCCCAGCGTGTCGAGGCGGAGGTCACGTTTGACCCTGAAGATGCGGTGGAAGTCGAACGGATGCCCACGCGCGGCAAGGGCGTCGGCGCGCCCTCGCCCTTGGCGCTCGAATTCGTGAATGGTGCGCGCCCGCGGCGGGCGCCTGCGGGGGCGTAGGGGTGGCGCGGAAGGGGCGCGTTGCGTCATGCACGGCTGGCCTCCGGCTCGGCGCGGACCCCTGGGGATTGCGATTCAGGGCCGTCGCGCGCCCTGCGGCTCGCCCCGCCCCCTCACAGGCCAGCTGCGGGTGGCGAACCGGTTCACGGTGTCGGGCAGGCCGGGCCAGGGCTTTGTGATGATGATTTCCGCCAAGCTGGCGGACTCTGACGGGTGAGGGCCGAAGACGATGGATGGGCGCCGACCGACGCGCCCGACCCGCCCCTTGTGGCCGCTGTCGAAGTAGACAGCCGAACTGCGCCCTCGTCGCCCACTTTTCGCCCCTCTTCCACGGGCCGTCCACCTCTGACGCGCGCCGACGCTGCCCCGCGCGCGCCGCCCGCAGGAGCGGGAGGGCTCTGGCCCCGCTGGTGACTCACTTCAGGATTCAGCGCATGCACCTGGCGCTCAACCACGCGACGCTACTGCCACTGGCAAACTGCGGCAGGTGCGTGCGGGTCTGCCGGGCCAGCAGCCTGCCCGTCATGCGACTGCATCAGTTAATGACGTTCTGCGACGGAACTTGTCGCCTGAAACCTGTTTTCTATGGCCTTGGGCAGTGCGTGCATGTGCATGTGGACGGGGGCGCTTGCAGGTGTTGGTGGGCATGGCTGCGCATGGCGTATCGTTGCTGACCCATGTTCGACTCCCACCCCTCCTGACAATCACAGGATGGAAGGCCCGGATGGCATTGACACGTTTGTCCTCAACACATGTGGGCGGCGTGCGGGCTTTGCGCAGCTGCGGCTGCAGCCCGCCCTCCGAAACGCATGCCCAATATTGCTTAATTGCCGATGGAGCGAGCTGCGTTCCCTCCTGCCTGCGCCGGCCGCCCGCGGCCTCGGACCCCCCAGGTCCCCGGCACCCCTGCGATCCAGAACTTGCACTTGATTTGCGCCGCCGGCAACCGGCACTGCATAAGCAGACGGCGAGCGGCCTCGCACATGCGGAAGCCTCGCCTTGTCAAACTTTTCCACTTTGCAGGGGAGCAGCCGCAGCATCACGGCAGAAACTACTCGGCCCTGGAGGGCGTGCCCAGGTTGCTGCTCGAGGCGTTTGAGTCGAGGGATGACGTCATCCGCGGCGTGGTGCGCTGCGCGAAATGGGCGCCGGGGTCCCTTACTCCTCGGGCCGCCCCTCCGGCCTGGCCCGGCCCCATTCAACCATCTGGGCACGATTGGCAGTTGCGCAAAGCCGCTGGTGATGCTCGCCATCGCATCAGCGCCTGTCCATGCGCTCTCCAACAGCCTGCTTGCAGGAGCCTGTGTAGTGTCCCGAGCTGGCTCTTTTGCTTGGTATACGCAGCAGTGTCGCCAACATGCACACTCTCAAACGCGCAGGTTCAGGCCTGCTACGTGCGGCCCACTGGGGAGGTGCTGCGCGAGGGGAAGATGCCCAAGCAGCTGCTGCTCGACGCCATCAACAGGTGTGCGCCCCCTGCCCGGCGGTCCTGCTGGCGCCTTGCACTTTCTTTTCTGCGCGAGCCCCGTGTGCTTGACCCACCTGAGCCCTTGGCTTGAAGCGTCCAAAATAAGTATCCAAAACTATCCCTGCAGGCACATGGATCAGCCGCCCATGGTCAACGATGTGTACGAGGCCGGCTTTGTCATCGACCCCAGCAAGGTGCGTGCACGCGCGCATGTGTAGGGCCGCTCGGCTGGTCGCAGCTGGGGCGCCCCAGGCACTGCCCCCCCCCCCCCAGCAATGTTCCGCGCCACGCAGGGGCCGGCTCGCGCACTGGCCAAGCCGTTGCTGCTTGTAACCATGTGTGGATATACATTGGGACCCAACAATGCGTTTGCCATCGTGGCCAACCAACTGCTCCGCCGACCACGCGGCGCATAACTTCCAGCAAGCTCACCAACCAAGCGACTTGCAACACGACTGCTGGTGCAGGCCAAGCACCTGAGCGACCTCGAGATTACGATCTGCAACGAGGAGGACATGCACGACCCCGACTTTTGCGCGCCGGTCAAGGTGCGGTCAAGGCGGCGGGCGGCGGCGAGGGGGGGGCGAGCCTGCCAGCCCCACCTGACTGGGCTTGCTGCACATTTGAGCGCCTTCTCTGAGCGGCGTTGGCTTGTCATCGGCACCGTGCGCCTCACAAAGGCACTAGATGCTGAGCGGCGCCACCCTCACCTTCAAAGCCTGGCTGAGCCGGATCAGGGCACCGCTGCTTCAGCGGGTGCACTGCCGCCGGCGCCGGCGCGGCTGAGGTCTCCTCGCGCCCCCTGCGGTCCTCCCCTCAACCCCAGCTGCTTCGCGATGGCGAGCCCGTCGCCGCCGGGTCCCTCGGCATCCGCGGCGGCAAGATGTCTCTGCCGCGCCTCGCGCTGCCGCCGGCGTGGTTTGGGCCCCACAACGCGGCGTGCGTCGAGTTTGACCTGCGGGACGCGCGCCACGAGGATTTCTCATACGGAAAGTTCTGGGTCCGCCACCGCCGCGCGGCGGCGCGCCTCGCGATCCTGCCGGCCGGCCGGCTCTTCGAGGGCACGCGCGTGGTCGTGCCGAGCGGCGCCGGCGGCGCCGCGCCCGAGGCGCTGCGGCTGCTGCAGCAGGCCGGCGGCGTCCGCGCCGGCGCGGGGCCGGCGTGGGCGGCGTGGCGAGTGGAGGGGCGGGACAGGCCGGTGTACCTGCACCCGCGCACGGCCGCCGTCTCACCGTCGGAGCCGCTGAGCGTGCGGCACGCGGAGACGGCGGTGCTCCACTTTGTGGCGCTGGATCAGGCGGGGTTCCCCTGCCCGCTGACGGCCAGCCAGCAGGCCGCCATGCGGCGCATGCAGCGGCTGGCCGCAGTCGAGCGCCGCGGCGCGGGCGCGAGCGCGGGCGCGGGCGCGACCGCGAGCGCGAGCGCGGGCG